GGGGGGGAAAAAGAAGGGTGGGGTATATTTTAACCAACAAGAGTTAATTCATTAGCAAAAAGCAAGGATTTTCAACCATCTTTTCCCCCCAAAATACAAAAATTGACCCACCCCCCCCCCCCCCCCCCAACCCCCATCCCCACCCCACACCCACCCCCCACCCTGTATCTATATCCAGATCATGCAAATTCCGCTTACCTTTTATTTTATTTTATTTTGCTCAAAAATAAACTTTATATTGTATTATATTTATGTAATTTTATATATATGGATTATAATAATAAATATAATATACGGGAAATTGACAGTGGGACGGTTGACGAAAGTGGGGCGGGAGATTGTGTGAAATGACATAATTGACCTTAATGAATTTACAATTATTTTATTTTCTGCATAAAGTAAATGCAATAATTATTATTCCCACATGATGATTTTTGGGTTGATTAGTTAATTAATTTATGGGATTAGTGGGAGATTAATGAATCACATGGGATTTTGGTTTAAATATTGAGGTTTCTTTATCCTCTGCACACTCCATTGACCATTTATTTATTTATTTTTATTCCTCAAATTTTGGTCTTTTAAATCTTACTCAAAGGGTCAATTGTTTTACTCAAACGTCAATAGATTTATTAAATAATGTATATATACATATTCAAAATTTAATTATAAATGAAAATAGGAGATGAGTATAATTTAGTGAGAGCGAATCGGATTTAGTGTCCAAATTATTACTTATTAATCAGATATTAGCAATTTAAGAATATTAATTAGGGGTGTTGAAATCGTTATGACGAAGGTTGTTACTATATTTATTCTATTTCGAATTTTTGAATATAGTATAATAAATGATTAATTATTCAATGCATTATATTCTCTTAAGTCATTTAACTAATTGTTGTTTAAAAACCAAAAAAAAATAATTTGTGTAGGCTATTGTATTTTAATTTCTATTATTTTAATTATATGGCACATATACTTATTTATATTTTAATAATTTTTCAGTATACTATTAATTTTTAATTTGTTTTTGGTCACATGAATGAATACAGATACATGCTTCTGAATATGGTTAACACATTATTTACGAGTCATACACATGTTTCATCCTCGAATTAATGTACATTTCATGTGATTTATTATTTTTCAATGTATATTTTATGATAAATAATTATAGATCACGTTAACTATAAATTATAATTTACCACTTTTGATCATTTTTTACTTTTTTTTTTTAATTTCCACTTTTTAATTATTATTTTTTGCTTTACCACCGGCCACTTTTAGGTAAGAAATAAATTGAAAAACTGACCCATTTGCTTGTATTAATCTGCTTACTATATTTTTGGTGAATTTAATAAGTGGATTATTAGTTTATTTTACTAATTTGCTTTTAAATTTTATTTTTTTGGTCAATTTAGACCAAATTCAAATGATAAAATGTTTAGGATTATATACATATTTCAAAATAAATTAAATATTTTACTATATGGACCACTGAATTCCTATTTTTGCTTTGAGTAATTATGTGACAATCCAATTACTTGCATATTATGCAATTTACCAAAATATAATAATTAAGACATGATTTTAATTGTATTCAACTTACCAAACTATAAATTGAATTATATTACATGGACATTAATATTATGCACTTACCGAAATAGGCCAAAATGAAATTATGCACGAGTCACGACAAAGCCGTTAAAATTTTATGATTCGATTCAATTTTTAGAATAATATTTAAATATGAAGAATCCCTATTAAATCCATTAAATCTTGCAATTTACGAGTTGATTCGTATGCTTACGATATTTATAATTTAAGAAAATGTATTTTGCTTTGAGGATTTTTTGTAAGACTAATTTAATTATAAATAGTTCAACATGCCAAATATTCATACTACACCTCTATTAGTTACATTTTAAATTAAAAGGAATTTAAATGAGTTTTATTCTAATTTTCAAATATATTTCTTTTATTTTCAATGAACCATCATCTATGTGTGTTGACCACCAATACAAATTCGACGTGTGTCGTCGATTTTAATTTTATAAAATAAATGGGTTTGTATTAGGCTATAAAGTTTTATTTTTATACTAACTAGTTTTCACTTGTACGATGTACGGAATACCATTTCAGAACTAAATTTAAGTATTATAAAATTGATTGAATAAAATATAATTCACATGTTCTATGAATAAAAGAAAATATGGACTCAAATAAACTTGAAATATTTCAACAATGTTGTAACGTGTTAGCGCTAAAAAATACAACGTATAAAGTAATTACTAATAATTAAATAAATTGATTTTTGCCCACTCTAATGAAAGATCCGTTTATCCTATAATACATTAAAAGATCGAGAGTATTTGGATTAAGTAAAAATATTAAAAATTTGATGCACAACATCAGTACTCTCGTGCAATAGCTTGGAAATCACACGAGATGTGTAATCATACTAGACATAATCTATCTGTGATAGAGGTCGCCCTAGAAAGTGTTGGTAAATGAATTCGAATTCTGGTCTTTTGACATCGCGCTCTCTTGCTCCACAAACTAAGCCACCCTTATGAAGTTGAACAATGAATTATATTGATTATACGTGTAGCGACGCATTGCAAGTAGAACAACAAATGCGGCAAATTATATAATTTTCAATATTATATATAATATTCAACTAATATGCACATTTTATAACAGAGCTGCCGTTTTTACTAATTTTTAAAATTCGTCTAGGCCCCGCAATTTCTCATGAACGCGTCTGTCTCTTTAACTAGCAAAAAACAAAGTTATACAGAAGTCCCCAAAATATAAACTAATCAAAACAACATAGTTTTACAAGACTTTAGGGCTAAAAATAAAACTCTCAACTACTCAATTAAATGCCATAAGAAAATTAAATTCCAGAGGCAAAAATAATAAGTAGAGGTGATCATAGCAAGTCCCTCAGCGTAGTTCTGGGAACTAGATGTGACTTCTCCTACAATTTATCAAACAAAATTAATATGTATGTTAGCCACAGAACTCTACTTTACGGTTTATTGCATTTAGCCATTTACCACCCCTGTATTTATCTAATTGCTATTTAAACCCCTCGTGTTATTAATTAACTAGCAAAAACCCCTTATGTTTCCATTTTTTAGCAAATTTTTTTTGGTGCTAATATTAATAACACGAGGAATTCATTAGCAAATCGATATAATACAGGGGTACTAATTAAACACAATAAACTCATAACTTTAAATTGATGTATATTGTGTCAAATCTAACCTGTTGATCTCTCGTCGTTGTAATAATTCCTGGTTGATCACATTGATGAAGCGGCGTGCCCTTCCCATCATACAAGATAAGCCCACTAAACCTCGGCAGCTCGCACTTTCCGCCCATGAGAATCGGCCTCTGCCAAACGGCCGAAGTCGAATTATGGCTATGCCAAACATCCCTCTTCACAAGCAGAGGCGTCGGCGCTTCTCTCCGACTCCCCATCGTAGTCGTCGCTAATCTCTCCTCCCGACGCGGGCTCCACCGCACCGTCCTCGTCAGCACTGACACCACCGAGCATCGGGCCGGGCCCACACAGGACCCGGCCCCGCTCGGTGCGTTCTTGCATGGAAGTTCTTGATCGTGAATAAGAACACTCCCTCTTGGTTTTGTACTGGATTTTCTCCAACGGATGATCAAAGCTCCGAATAGGCATAGTCCGACGACTAGGAAAGAAGTGCACGCGAATACTGCGACGACTTTTTGTGTCGAGAGCTTCCATTTGGCCTCCAAGTTCCATAGTAGTGTCTCCATTTAATTAATTACTGCACCAACAAAGAAATGTATGCTATAAGGGGAAACTTCTTTTGTTGGCTACCGAAAAATTGATGATATAGACGTTGCATATTGATATTTGATGATGTGAGAATTTAATTATTCTGTTTTGATGCTTTTCCAGCTTCATGTGAGATCACCGACGGAATTATTGTGGATGGGCCTTCATAATATATATATATATATATATATATATATATATATATATATATATATATATATATATATATATATATATATATATATATATATGTATATTTTTTATTTGCTTATAATTTTAGCCGTTGGAAATTAATGAGTCACCGTTTTGCAAGTGTTATGAACTCACGGGTTACACAAGAACTAACTTATTTTTTTTTATTTTTTTTTTTGAGTAAATTCAAGTCCATTACAAGGGAAAGTAGGGGAGGGGGGACTCGAACCCTAAACCGTTACCCTATTGGTAAAGGCTAGGTACCAACTCTCCTAATGAGAGTTGGTCACAAGAACTAACTTAAAACTGCAAAAAAATAAAAAACACACTTTAGTATTAATGAATTGGATTCATGTTTTAACCTCATCAGGTATCCCTATTCTTGTAACTAGTCACAATGCTAGCTGAATTTTGCAACCAATCAAGAAATAATCAAGAATTAATTATCTACCCCTTTCAAGATATAATTACCGAATTTCGCAAACATATCGATTTATTTTCTCACTTAAACCTCTATAAATTAATCCATTTTTCTATAAATTTAATGAAATATTAAATTATTAATTTAAAAAGTCAACACATAGTCACCAAGTCGAGATTGGAAGAAATTATTATTTAAGCGATAATAATAATTTATTGAGGTTCTGCTCCACACGTCAATTGTTTAAAAAACAAAATAGTGGGTTCATCTATATATACAAATATACTATATATACAAATATACAATTTAATGATATATTTGAAAATGCAAATTGCACACCTTTTTCAATTTCTTGGTTGTTGCTTGCATATGGAGTGTTCAAATTTTTTTTTTTTTTTTTTTACTCAATGAGAATTATATAGACTCATGGTTTCTTTTAATTAACTAGTCTTTTCTCTATTTTTTGGGATAAAACTTTTGACCAAGTATTAAGAAGGATTTCTATTATAATAAATTCCCACTTGATAATATGATAGCATAAATGTGGCTTCACCCCCGATATAAAATGGTCTTTTCAGCATGGCACGGTTGAGGCATGGATCCCTATGAACGAACAACTTGCTTTACTGCCCCCAAAGTTGGGGTGTAAATTTTTCGAGTTCGAGTCAAATTTGGCAAGATCGAGCTCGAGCTCAAATTGAGTCGAGTCTGTCGAGCTCGAACTTGAGCTCAGCTCATCTTATATTTTTGTTTTTTTATTTAATTTTTAAATAATATTAATATTAATTTTTATTATAAATTATTTATATAAAAAATAAAAAAATGCAGAATAAAACATTAATATGTAAATTTTTTTAACGTATATGTATATATTAGTTATTTTTATATTAATAATATACATAAAAGCTTGTGAGTCGGCTCGTGAGTTTATGAACAGCTAAAGATGTGCTAGAATCAAGTTTTTGTCGAGCCAGCCCATGAGCCGGCTCGACTCATTTACACCCCTACCCCAAAGTGGTCTAGTTGGTAGAGTATGGTCTAGTTTAGTTGAGGAGATTAGCCATGATATTTAACTAAATAATTTAATCTTGTTTGATATTTGATAAACCCAATAACTTTTCGAATTGACCCCATATATTATGTTATTATCTGTTATTTTGCTTTTTAGGGAGTTTTTTTTTTTTTGGTGTGACGTCCCAAGATCCGATAAAATAATCAGATTTTCATTAGATTATTTACTTATCTCATTTAATCTTATCTTGACAATCAACGAGGTCAAATAATACATAATTATATTAATTGATTGAAGTTCATATTTTATTTCCAACACTACAATTTATAGGTCAAACTCGTCAAACATAGTAGTCAGTGCTATTCACATATCTTGAGTGAGTTGTGAAAAATTGTATAAGAACGAAATTTATATCTAGTGTAAATCATATTTGTTAAAATAAATTAACATTGAAAAAATAATTATTAAACTAAAAAAAACATGAAAAATTACAACAAATGGCAAAAATAAAGTTTAATGATCAATAGAACTTAGAATTGTAAGGACAATCCAATTCACTTAATTGAAATTCATTTTGACAGAAAGATTTCAAATATTACTACAAATAGAAGAAAGAAAATAAGGTTTTGGAAACCTGAACAATGTTGTCGCAAAAAAAAAAAAAATAACCAATGATCTTCAACTCTGAAATTGTTGAGTTCTTTCTAATTTGTCGTTTCGCTTTCGATAAGTGTGACCACGCTTCAGTTATAACGATGAAATAAAGGGCAAGGTAGTCATAATAAGCATGTCTGAGAAAATAATCAAAAGACTTTTAGCAAATTATATATTAGCATGTTATGTTCCTTAACTAGATAGTAATGTCAATAAGAGGGTGTTTGGCTAAGCTTATTTTAAACAGCTGATAAGTTTTTACATCTGATAAGATGTTTTTAGAGCTGATAAGCTGTTACATCTTATTTTAGGATTAATTTTTAGAGTGTTTGGATAATGAGTTTATTTCCTATTTTTACTCATTATAAGATCTTAAATAAAAAGGTGGGGTAGAGGTACTTATTTAAAAAGATCTTATTTGATCTCCAACAGCTTATTTAAAAAAAAATAAGATCTTTTTTTTAAAATTTACCAAACACTTTGGAAGAGCTTATAAGTTCTAAAACATCTTATAAACTCCTTTTAACATCTTATAAGCTTAGCCAAACACTCATTATAAGTAAGAATTGTAACCATTTCCATTTTTCCTTTTCTTTAATTTAGTAAAAGTAAAAATATTATTTGATAAGTTCATTTAATTTTTAGTTAAAATTGAATTTTATTGGAAGTATGGAGTATTTTAAAATATAAAGGCTCTTTATATGTGATTAGATCTAAATACAGGAGTGGGGGTATTGTAATTAACTCACTATATGCTCAAGATTAAAAGTAAAATTTTAAAAATTCAATAAGAAAAAAATGAACTACTCTTATTTTTGCTATTAAAATTAAAATAATAATTTTTTTATTGATTTCAGTCAAATAATATTTATGTTTTAATTTACTTAAAAAGTTAAAATTACATACAATAAACATTTTTCAATTCCAAATACTTATACAATATACTTTAATCCTTGTACAAAAATATTTAAAAAATATTATTATAGTTATAAAAATAAGGGTAAATTCCATTTTACCCCCTTGTACTTTGGCTGGATATCACTTTACCCCACTGTACTCTCAATTGCACCGATTTGCCCCCTTGTACTTTTGTTCGATATCACTTTACCTCCTGCTACTCTCAATTGATCGATTTGCCCCCTTGTATTTTGGCTAGATATTAGTTTACCCCCTTCTACTCTCAATTGCACCGATTTGCCCCCCTTACTTGAAAAATTGTCTCAATGTGGCCTTCGTCGTTCCTTTGACCTTAACACCGTTTGATTTCAATATAAAATTACTAAAATGCCACCCCTACCAGTTTAAATAATTATTAAAAAATAAAAAAAACAAAAAAAAAATTGTGGCTGGCGTCGTGGACTATGTTTTCTCGTTGTCTTAATTTTATTATTATTTTCAAACTTAGATCAAACGGTGTTAATGTCAAAGGTCTGAAAACTAACGGCGAGGGCCACATTGAGATAATTTTTCAAGTACATGGGGGAAAATCGATGCAATTGAGAGTATAAGGGGGTAAAGTGATATCGAGCCAACATACAAGGGAGAAAATCAATGAATTGAGAGTAGAAGGGGGTAAAGTAATATCGAACCAAAGTACAAGGGGCCAAATCGATGCAATTGAGAGTACAATGGGGTAAAGTGATATCCAGCCAAAATACAAGGGGTTAAAGTGAAATTTACCCTAAAAATAATGAACAATTTGAAAAATAAAATCAAATCAAACGGTTCGTCGCTATCCACATCAAATCAGAATAAAACACAACAAAGGAACATCTGACACAAAAATGTTATTCAGCAAAACAATAACTGATAGCGACACCATCTGCCATTGCCGCCGATCTGCAGCCGACCGCCGACGAAGCTTTGCTGCCACCGTAGTCTGACACGAAGTGAAGAAAACAGAATGCAGTTCCACGCAGCTACTCATTTTCCCGAACCCTGCGCCCGTGTCCATGGAGCTCCAATTTTAAGTGCAACGCCGCCGCGGCAGCCCAAATTACATCTCTCGCCGGCGGCGGCGGCGGCTTCACTTAAACTCAAGAGACTTCCAATCCAATCTCAACTCGAGAATCCCATTTTCGTGGTTTCGCCGACGATATCAAAACCCAGATTGGGGCATCTTCTTTGCGGCAATTCGTCGAACACTTTGACTACAGATCAGAAAAAGAGCTGGATTGAAGTAGTTGGAGAGGCGATATCCACTGCTTTTCCGGTGTGGGTGGCGGTGGGCTGTTTGCTGGGGCTCGTGAGACCTAGCTCATTCAATTGGGTCCAGCCGAAATGGACTGTGATGGGCATCACACTCACCATGCTCGGCATGGGCATGACTTTGACTTTTGATGATCTTCGCGGCGCATTGGCTATGCCCAAGGAATTGTTTACCGGTTTCCTGTTGCAGTATTCGGTAATCTTCACTTGTTATGCTCTTGTTTTCCTTTTTTGCATTTTTTTGGTTGTCTATGTATATAGAATCAAATGTAATGTGAGAATCATAAATTAACCTTTTTGATTGTTCAATAGCAAAGTTGAATTGAAAGCAAGAAAACTTTGTCGTTGAGTTGTGTATTGTGTAGATGGTGAAACATTAAATCTGATATAAGTTCAGTTGGCAACTTTCTGTTGACGATTGATAGAACAATGTTCGATAAAGTGTCCTGAAGATATATTATATACAATTAGGCCCCGTTTGGTTGGGAAAATTATCCATGATTAACTAAATAGTTGAGCTTTGTTGGATGTTTGGTCGACCCGCAAAAATTATGTTATCATGGCTCATCTTGCCTTTTTAAGCATGTCTTTTGTTGGACCTTCCAAGGTCCAATAAAACAATTGGGTTTCATTAGATTATTTTGTTTTATCTTGGCTAATCTTATCTTGGCAACCAAGCGAGACCTTAGGGTATCTGAAGTTGATGACTTTTAGACCATCTAAACAACATTTAGGTAGCAATTTACTTGCATGTACATATTGCAAATGTATGTCAAAATGGTTCGGGCGTCTGATTCATGAGCTCTGTTCAACTGTTACTATTAGTATCATAATTGTTGCATGCTTTTGTTACCTTGTGGAAATATGGCAGTTTAACTAGAAAGAGGAAATTGACTTGTCGTCTTATTGAAGCTAAGCATTACCTCAGTCTTGCATATAGAAATTTTCATTAAGAAAATCTTTTTAGCCATATTGTTAGTGAATCCTATCACGTAGTAGGCTTTGGTTTCAAAGAGATCAGATGATCTTCCATTCCGTGTTATTTAGACATATGTATGAAGAGTAGAGGTATGAAAATGTAGTCAGCTTATCTAGGAGGACAAAGAAAAAAGTTTACTTCTATTACAATCTGCAAATATGTCGGTGCATTAGTCAGACTCATAATAATATACTTTATTTGGAATAGTTGTATGAAACAATATTATACGTACCTATCAGCGACATGAGTTTCATTCAGTTTATATCTTGCATTTCGAAATATTAAGATTCTTTCATATCCATCTCCTATGAACTTGAGGTAATAGGTACTATCGAAACTATGAATTCTGGGTTACGAACAAACTTCTCGCTTTCTCTGTTGGCATGCTTTGTAGAAAATATTTATAAAGTTGCTTGGCAATTTAGACTGGATATGACAATTTAAAAGGAACTATCTTGATCTGCTTACTATTTGAATGAAAAAATCACCAGTTTATGAACTAAGATGTCTTTTCTTTTGGCGAGACCTCCATTCTGCATTTCATAAAACTTGAACGAATATTCTCCTTTGATTTTTAATGCACACTTAGAAGAAGATTTTGATGGCAGGTAATGCCATTATCCGCGTATTTTGTGAGCAGACTCTTAAATTTGCCATCCTACTATGCAGCTGGCCTGATATTAGTGGGCTGTTGTCCTGGAGGTATGTGTTATACAATATATATGTTCGTCTATGTCATCTTATACTAGCCTGCTGTTCTAAAAATGTTCGTTTTTTTTCTTCTTGTATTTCTTTCAGGGACGGCAAGTAATATTGTTACATACATTGCACGGTATGTCGATCTCTTCTGTAGCTGTCTTTAATTGATTGATTATGTTGTCCTGACAAAATATGTCCCGCAGTGGGAATGTGGCTCTCTCTGTGTTGATGACTGCTGCAAGTACCCTTTCTGCAGTGGTTAGTAACTCTTATTTGCTCTTCGGTTTTTCTGAGTTTGAAGATATTTCTATTTTCTTCTGTTTGCAGTGTTTGTATCTGTTAAACTAAAACGTCAAACCCCGTTTCTCGTAGACTAATGTTATAATGCATTTGCAGATTATGACACCTTTTCTCACAGCAAAACTTGCTGGGCAATATGTTGCTGTCGATGCAATGGGTCTGTTCATGTCAACTTTGCAGGTTATATTTCCGTCCTGCAGCCTTTCTTGCTGTTTAACTTAATTTCTGTATATACGTACTAGTAACGATGCATTTGCACGTGGTTCATATAATTTCTTTAAATTATTTATATGTTCTCTATAATTTAATTAAAAGAAAAAAAAAGCTCCAAACCTTCAAAGTCGAAACGATATCTTGAATCTGTCAGGTTGTGCTTCTTCCAGTATTAGCTGGTGCATTTCTGAATCAATACTTTCAAGGATTCGTTAGAGTTGTTAGTCCGTTAATGCCGCCTATAGCTGTAGCAACAGTAGCAGTTCTTTGCGGGAATGCAATCGCTCAGAGTTCGTCTGCAATTCTCCACTCCGGCCAACAAGTGGTCCTAGCTGTTGCTCTTCTTCACACATTCGGGTTTTTCTTCGGTTACGCACTTTCAAGAACGCTTGGGATTGATGTTTCCTCTTCAAGAACTATTTCCATTGAAGTTGGCATGCAGGTCAATATTCTCATTTTTTTGTCATCCCAAAAAAATCGAAATTCCATTTTCTGGAAACATGAGATAAGGCAGCAATTACTATGAGGTTATTTTAAACTTTGGTTTTAATAATTGAATAATTGTTTTTGAAATTGAGTGCAGAACTCGGTACTGGGAGTAGTGCTGGCCACCCAACACTTTGGGAATCCATTGACTGCAGTGCCGTGTGCCGTTTCTAGTGTGTGTCACTCCATATTTGGCAGTGCTTTGGCCGGAATTTGGAGACGTAGCATTCCTACAAATACTCAAGAGAAAGAAGATTAAGTAAACCGAGTAGTATTTACGTTTATGTTCTTTTTTCAGCCTCTGATATGAACTCTACTACATCTTCTATGTTTTGGTGCTTTTAGTTTTCGAAGACTCAAACAATAATGTATTTAGACGTCGGACCAATAATTTTTATCAATAGGCGAGTTTACAAAAATTTATCAATCGATTCGACGGCATATTATACGCTGTTGCCTGTTTTGTTCTTGTTTCAGTGTCAAGATTCTGATTATTTTATTTATTTATTTATTTTAATTTTTTTGGCTGAGATTTAGGGGTTTTGCTTATTTCTACTTCTGCAAGATTTGGGATTTTCTAATTTCTGGTATATTCTTCTTGTAACATACTGTAGAACCTCGATAAATGAATATTCGATAATTAATAACCTCTCTTAAATAATAACTTATCGTGGTCCCTACTCGGTGAATACGTACTAAATTATTAATCAGATAATTTAATATTTCGTTAAATTAATAGAATTTTGATAGCCCCGACTGTATTAATTTATAGAGGTTTAACTGTATTTTCTTCCTTTTTTCGTTAATTGGAAGAGTTATTATTATCTATATTATAAAATGAAGAAGAAAAAAACTAAATAACTGAAAAATGAAATAAAAAATTTGGCGGGCAAACGAGCAAGGAGAAAGATGATGACGTTGAGAAGTATTAGATGAAGGTCGACGCGAAAGGACAAAGAAGATGACGTTGAGGAATGTCGGCGCGACCGACAAATAAGACAGCATTTGAGTACAATGATTACTAACGAATATTCATCGACAAGTAATCACCGTTACATATCGGTTATTTAAATTTTGCCGTTGCATAACGATTCTTGATTCCGTTAATTATTTGACTCACGATTTTGCGTAAACGGTTCAGAATTCGACATGTGGTAATATTTGATTCGCCCATAATGGTTCCATCTAATTTTCCCTTTTTTTTACAAATTATTATATATGATATGACTTCGTTAAACAATTTAACCATACATTAAAGGATCTTGAAATAATTATGACAATCAACTTGAAATACATGTTAGATATTATAATATGTGCCTATCATATTACAAATTACAACGAAAATGTAAAACTTTTTTCTCTTAAAATTTGTACATAAAATTCTCTTATTACAAGAGATCTACTCCAAAATTTCCACATCAAAATTCTCTTATTACCAACAGGTCCAAAATTCCACGTGTCAAACCGCTTCCGTCATCACTAAACTTCCGTTAGCTTCGCCGTTTGTTTGTCCGTTTATTTTTCAGTTATTGTCCAGAAAGCTGCAGAATGGAACAAAGTGATGAGTCACCGTTAGGTAAAAAATTCCAGAATCTCCCAACAATATTCATTCACGCCCATGCATCCTCTTTTTTTTAATATAATATTATAATAATCCACCCCCCCCCCCCAACCCCACCCTTCATTTTGAAGGCTATAAATTGGAGCCCCCGGTTCTCTATTCTTCCACCACCAACAAAGAAAGCTGAGTTATATTTATATATAAATAATGATGTAGTGAGAGAAAGAGTGAGTAGTTTTCATGTATCAGGCGGCGGCGGCTGCGGCTGCTTCCGGCGAAGGGATGAAGGAAGCTGGCGGCGGCGGCGGCGAAGACAACAACCACTACTAGAAAAACGCGTTTTAGCAACGTCCATATCCATCGCTAACCAGTATATTTCTGTCGCTAACGTTGTATTAGAAACGGACCTTCGCCGTCGCCACCTCCGTTGCTAAAGGGCGCCTCGCTAATTTTAGCTTCGACGAGATTAAATCCCTCGCTAGATTTAGCTACGGTATATCCGTCGCCAATGTCTGTTACTAAGTTTGAGACAGAATTACAGCGTTGCTATAGTCGTGGCTAGTGTAGCAACAACACTTCTGTCGCTGTATGCGTTGCTACGGTCGCAACAAAGCTGTCGTCGCTACATCCGTGACTAGAGTAGCAACAATTAGTTCGTCGCTACTGACGTTGCTACTTTAGCAATTATTCCCTCGTCGCTACGGTCGTTGCTAATGTGGCAACAACCTGTTCGTTGCTAAGATCGTGGCTAACGGAGTAACGACATTTCCATCGCTACACCAAATACGGACGTTGCAAATATCTGTGGCTAATTCGTAGCAGTATTCGTTGCAACTCTTATTCCGTGACAAAGGTCGTAGCCATTTTAAAATTGTGTTTTTTTACCCATTTTAATTTATTTTTTTATCAATAAAATTACACCTATATTTAAACAATTTTGCAAAAGAAAAAACATTGTAATACTAACGAGCTATGCTAAAATCTGAATCACGAAAACCATACTAATTAACACCGCAATAATATCATCATAAACATGTTCAGAAAAGAAACAAAATAGTCAATACTAATGCGCTCAACTACAATTCGATTCACAAAACCAAACTAAAACCTGAAGAATATCAACATAAACGTGCGAATACTAGCCCCGTAAAATTAAATAAAACTTTATCCTATAAGTATTATTCTGACCCGAATATCTCTTACAGATCCTTGTCATTGACTTCGGTTCATTGCTTGAGTGGCTGCCTCAATCCTGGCTTGCAATTTCTCTTCAAAAGCCGCTTCCATTTGTTCAAATTTGTCTTCTATTGCTCGATTAACTGCTTCTTGAAATATAGGAGAATTGACGAAACTTTGAGAATAATTGGGTGGTGCTGATGAAGAACATGTTGGACCATTAGATATATGGTTAACTCCCTGCAAAATGTTAGAAGACTCGGACCCGACACCATAAATTCTTCCTTTTGTTGGTCCTCCAGTTACCTCGAGCCAAACATTGTCAACTAGTTCTTTGGGTAGAGTAGCTATCGTTGTCATGAAGGCCTCATCTCCACTGTCATCTTCTTCCCCATCTTCATCATCTATTGTTGCATCATCATTTTCGTTATCTTGTGTCTCAGACCTGTTATCTAGACGACGTTTCTTCATGCTATTCTTAATTTTTTCCTGATACAACACAAATTCAATAATAAATATACATGACATAAATCCCACAATATATATACATAAACAAATTTATTTTTTGTATCATAACACCTCAGAATGTATACAAGTCAGAATGCATAAAGTCAAGAATACCAAATCAGTTCATGAGATAATAAACACATACATAAACATTTCAATAATTCATCTAAATAAAAGGCTTTTAATCATGCATTGAATAAAAAATCTTGTACTCCAATCAACTCAGATTCATAACCAAATCCAACCTTGGGTTGGATACTTTATATGCATTCGAGAGAAAAAAAATACATGCAAGAGTATTATGTTAATGGAATGAGATTCTTACCCATATCAATTTCGACTTCTTGTCAACCCAATCTTTATTTTCTTTTGTCTTGTGAGTCATCAGGAATAACTCCGAGGCACTAGGTTCTTTCCCATTTTCTTTCACCTAAAATAAACATAATAATTAATGCAGTTTATATAATTAAATTGTAGAAAAAATACAAATAAAAAAAGGGAAAAATACTTACATATCTTCTTTTATATTCTGATATTGGAATTGATCCTCCTGTATGCAGCGATGGACCTGAACCATCTGGACCATTTTTTCTATTATTAGCATTAGTTTCGGACTTGTCTTTAAACTTGTTGCTATTCCAATAAGCCAATAATTCATCCCAGTGATTTCGATTGATCCACTTTGGTGTTATTTTTTTATCACTGAATTGTTTCCTGGCTTTGTTTAAACTATTGCTCAAGCTCGTGCTTCCTTTTTGTTCAAAAAGTCTTCTTACAGCCGTGTGATCCTCACTAGACCAATAATAGAGTTTTCTACAAATAGTAAAAGATGTTAACTATTAGTAATAAATAATAATAATAACATTGCAGGGATCAGAGAGATTGGTAAAATATATTAGGAACTTCTACTCGAAACCAAAGTGCCAGAATCACGAAATCATTAATGAGTTAATCATCCAAATACACTGTGAATGCTATAAGATCAATAACATCACATAATTCAAAAAAGAAATCATCAGATGGTATTTATGACATCCTGGTAAAAACAAATTCGATATTTCACCAAGTTGTCTAGAATTATTAGATATAAATTTCATTAAAAAAAATAGAAGACAGCGATCATTAAAAAAGATATCAGCTGGAAGAGCTACAAATTTCATTAAAAAAATTAATTAACTCTTAATCATTCGAAGTATTATAGAAAACCATAGTAGTTAAAAATATAATGTACCTGAAATTCATGAAACCACCAATCTCTAACATAATCTGGAATGTTTTTCCATGTTGGCCATGAACCACTAAATGATTTCTTATATATCTCAACTAAACGCCTCGAAGCAGTGCAAGGATCAAATCTGACACTACTAGCAATTTCCTTTAATGAAGAATAATTAAAGTGAAACGAGCAGAATTAAAACATAAAATTATATTGAATAACAAGCTAGCAATCGTGATATCATAATGTCCAGCATATATTATCAGCAATCAAAACACATAAGCAACTAAACACAAAATTTATTTTATTTGTCACATTCAAGCTATCATTATCAGGTTCTTCGTCAGACGAGAAAGGAGAATCAGTAGCCTCGACAAAAAACATAGTAAAATTCTCAAACTTCTAATTCAAACTTCTAATTCAACTCATCAACTAGTAAAATTCAAGTTTTTCCATAGAAATATAATTCAGGAACAAAAGAGATTGAGACATCCCTGTTCAACAATGACTCTATACAATATAGGCATCTTAACTAAGAGTTTAATCTAGAATTCCTCTCGAAACTATACTAAGAATATGGCTTAAACAAGCATCAATTATGCTTTAACCCCTAATTAAATTTTAAAACAGAACTTTAAAACCCTAACTTATAACTCATGGGTTTAATACGAAACGAATGGGAACGAGTGGGGGACGGGTGAGATAGTGAGGGAGAGATTCAGGTTACCTTAATCTGTGGAGTTCTTCGTGCGCCGGACGTGTAGGCAGAGATGGTTGTGGTGGTGGTTGCCGCCAGCCTCTGTTTCTCTTCTCTAATTGCCGCTGTTTCTCTTCTCTAATTCTAGCGGCAGAAAAAGTTTTTTTTTTATTTTATGCAATGTGTAGAACTAATTTAGGCAATAAAATAATCAATAAAATTATAATAAATAAATTCTTTTTCTATCACATAAAACACTAAAAAGTAGGCTACACGTGTATATATAAACATAAACTAATGAAGCTTAGAAAATATAAATATTATTACAAGTTTAATTCAATCTCTTAAAAATAGATTATTATTATTATTAATAATAATATTATTATTATTATTATTATTATTATTATTATTATTATTATTATTATTATTATTATTATTATTATTATTATTATTATTATTATTATTATTATTATTATTATTATTATTATTATTATTATTATTATTATTATTATTATTATTATTATTATTATTATTATTATTATTATATTTTATTCAAATTGATAAAAATTAACATTAGTAATGTATGTTGTTCGTCGCCAAGTTATTTGTTAAAATTTATGTTAGTAACAGCTATGATGTTCGTAGCTTAGTTTCGTTTCTAATATATTTGTTGTAGTAACGACTATGATGTTCATTGCTAAATCTATAGCAAATTATTTAATTTTGGAAACGGATTTATTTTCCATTACTACCATCGTCGCTAATTAATTACGTTTGCGACGGCTCAACCTTCCGTTGCTAGAGATGTTGGTAAATATTTATGTTTGACACAGACTTTGTATCCATCGCTAATAGTTGTCACAAAAAAAATGTGATAGCAACGACCATTATTTTTATGGCTAAAGCTAACGCTAAATTTAACTTTTGCAACAGAAATGATGTGCGTCGCTAGAAGCCGTTGCTATCGATGAACTTTCACAAGTAAAGGGACGAATTCGTCTTCCGTTGCCACCTCCGTTGCTGAACAGTGATGGTAGAAACAGATTTATAGTCCGTTGCTAACGGACGTTGCTAAAACGCGTTTTTCTAGTAGTGAACCACGGCGGCAGCGGTGGAAGGATCGGAGGATGCGAAAGAATTGGGGAAGAAGGGCGGCGGCGGCAAGAAGGGGAGCGGCGGGCATCACTCGCGTATCTTGAGAAAAAGCAGCAAGTAGCTGATATCAGAAGTACAAGAGTGGCTTGCCCCTTCGGAGATGGCGATTGGCGCCCCCGCTCTAACAAATCCATTTTTTTCTTTTTTCTATTTTTTTGTTCGGCTTAAAAGTAGAAGGTTATTTATTAAGTTGGATTTGTTAGATGCTGCACCTGGTGATCATACACCGGTGTATTATTAACCGTTGACCTGCATACTATTACATACAAACTAGGTGTAGCATCTCAAATATATGTACATTGTTATTATTTAAATTGTATAGGACTATATACAATTTGGACCATTGAGATAGAGAATGTGTGATATTTGGCCCTTAAATTATCAAATGTAACACTTAATTCACTTTATTAATACATTCAATTATAAAACTCTGATTTTTATTGACATAGCATTTTATTTTATTATAATGTCCTTCCAACCATTATATATATAAAAACGGATATGTAATCATATTTTTTTATAAATCTTTTAAAATTTCAATTTCATTATATATATGATTAAAAAAATAATTAATTTCATGGATTTTTTTGAGTTTTTCTTCCAATATTTATTTATTTATTTTATCTTCATTAATAATTAATAACAATAAATTTGGAATTGTACATGCATCAAATTATAGATTTTTTTAAGTGAGATGTATTGGTTGTAATTTCGGAGGATATATATTATGGTTGCAATGTACATAAACACTCGCATGATTTATAAAGGATATATATTATGGTTGCAATGTACATAAGTACTCGCATGATTTATAAATTGGATGATTAGCAAGAACCCCCCAATCTATGAAATGTAGTTAAGAAAACACCTCATCTAAAAAATAATTAGAGAAAACCCCTTCCCCTTTAAAACAATCCTCCTAATAAATCTAAATTGTCTAATATACCCGTGAAGAACCCTATGTTCTCACTCCCGTCGTCTCTTCTCTCCCTTATTTTTTCCTCCATTCTCTTCTTTCTCACACGACACAGCGCCAACGATTTTTTCCTCTCTTCTCTCTTCTCTTCTTCTCTTCTTGCTGAATTTTTCAAAATCTTTAGATCCCATTATTTTGCTTCGTAGATGGGGTGGTATTTTATATATTTTTATTTCAGCCAGGGGAGGCAAACAAAGAAGAGCCACCTGTGAGAAATCTTGTAAGTATATTATTCTCATCACCATTCTCTTCACGGGAAATCAATTTTCCGTTGCATTTGGTTACTAAATTTTTGGGCTTTTTTAGGTCAACCAAAGAGCTCATTACCTATGCATATGGTTAGATGGCCTGGTGGACTTCCTCCCATGGGGTATGAAACGATTGCATATCGTGTTTCTATGCTCCTTGTTTTTTTCAATGGAATTAAAAAAAAAAAAATTAGATCTATTATTAAGCTCTGATGGTGTGGTCTGGTGACAATGTCGTGACGATGGAGAGCATATTTAGGATTGTTTTGATAGATTGGGCGGATGACGGAGGGGCAGAAAAATCCGTGTAGGTTGGATCCTCAGTCGACTATATTCAATAGTCGATTAAGGCTAATCGATTTTAATTTCTAATTTTTTTTTTTTGTTTTTTTTTTTGTTTTTGGTTCCGATTTGTATCAATCAATTATTTTTACATATTTTTGTTTTTGTAAAATATAGTTGATTTTGCATTGTTTTGTAGTTGTAATTTGTTATTTTTAGTAGCAGATTCTTAATCGACTATGCTTCATCCTAATCGATTAAGCTGATCGACTGTCGATTAAGGTGGATCGACTCTAATTTTTTGTTTTTTTTTTGGAGTTTTTGTTTATTGATTCCAATTGTATAAATCAATTATAATATTTGTATATCTTTTGTTTTTGTAATATATAGTTAATTTTGCATTTTTTTTTTTGCAGTTGTGATTTGTTATGTTTAGAGGGTGTTTGGCTAAGCTTATTTTAAACAGCTGATAAGCTCTTACATCTAATAAGATGTTTTTAGAGCTGATAAGCTGTTACATCTTATTTTTAGGATTAATTTATAGAGTGTTTGGATAATAAACTTATTTCTTATTTTTACCGATTATAAGATGTTAAATAAAAAGGTGGGGTAGAGGTACTTATTTAAAAAGATCTTATTTGGTCTCCAACAGCTTATTTTAAAAAAAATTAAGATATTTTCTTAAAAATTTACCAAACACTTTGGAAGAGCTTATAAGCTCTAAAACATCTTATAAGTTTTTTTTAACATCTTATAAGCTTAGCCAAACACCCTCTTAGTAGCAGATTCTTAATTGACTATGCTTCATCATAGTTGATTAATATACCTGATATAGAAAAAAGAAAAACAAAAAAAAAAATTAAAGAATTTCCTTAATCGACTATGAAGTATAGTCGATTAAGGCTAATCGACTATGTTTCATAGTTGATTAAGGAAACTGATACATAAAAGACGGAAAAAAAACGAAAAAGGAAAAAAAAAAAAAAAAAAAAAAGACGCTAGGCGCGTGACATGATGTGGCGGGCGGGGACAAAACTGAAAAATATAATGGCTGAAAATGGGTGTGAGCTTTTCTCAAATAGACAGAAATATTTTGGGCCTCTTTCTATTAAAAAAAGTAATGAGGGGGTTTTCTCAAAAAGCCCCTTATAAATTCGAATATTTACACTAATAGTGAAAGGAAAGTAATTAAAATAATTGAAATTATACTAGAAACTCATATTTCTTAAAAATTAGAATTTTTGGAATGATAAAATTAATTTTAAAGATGATGAGATTAAGATTTTCTTGTAAATTCATCATTTATTTAAACAAGGGAGCACACCAGAAATGAGGGTGATTGAATAAATATATAAATATACATAATACATTTATTTATAGATCAATGATGAACTAATTGCTACTATACAGAGGGGGCTATAAACGAGAAGATAAATAAACCTAAAAGAAAACAGCCCGCTCTTCTTACAAACAACGTAGAATCGCCCAAGATTCACAACTATCATCACTCACCCACAATGCAGTTACACTTTTGTCCAGCATCCCTTCTCCATACAAAGTCGTTCGAGACTCTCTTCACCTAAATATCATGTGTAATGACATAAACGGCCCCCGTTAAGTTAAGATAGTCCGACCTGAACGACACCAACCTCTCGGTGAGAGGTGACAGCAGTGGGCCCCGCTGCAACAAACTGAGACTGGATTTGGAACAGTTTTCCGTCAATAGCAATTTGATTATTCATAATGCCGGATTTTGCTTGCGACTGGTAATACGGGTTGCTATTTACGTCGAAGCCCATCATTCCAGGGTTCGATTTAAAAGGTGTGTGGTGAGGTTGTACTTTGTAGTCCATGTCGATACTCGTGCCGTTTATTGATTTAGCTGGCATCGTGTATTGCTTTGACTCTTGTTTGACTTGAGATGCTTCCGTCTCGGATTCTGCCCTACACTTGTCTTGATTAATATTATTATTATTCTTCCCCAAGTTATTCCTGAATAAACAATGTGGATATATTATTTGAGGTCGAAGGATAGCGTTCTGAACGTATGCCCTTCCATCGTGAGATTCATTCGAAGCTCTGGCGTTCTCACACGGTAAAACTGGTCCTACTGTTCTTCCAGACTTGGCTTCAAAAGATAAAGGAAAGGTTATTTATTATAGCAGGTGAAAGAAAAAGATAAAGATCTTTAATTCAACAATCATGTCGCTGCTATAATGAAATAATAAGCATGTCTCTGGGGTACTAAATTCAATATGAAATAATAACCATTTTAACAGGATTTGGTTAATTTCATTCGACAAGCTACGCCTACTAACAAGAACAGAAAAGTGAATAATTCAATGTAAAAAATTTTCCATACCATTAGCATTAGGCATGCGGGGTGGTGGTGGCCGTGAAACCTTTGATATATCTCCGGAAATGGCAAATGTCGACATTTCTCCTGTAATTTTCCGGTTATCAAATGCAGAATTGTTTGGTTGTGCTTTTGGAGGAATGGTACAAGAGTTTACAGTAGACCTGCATGAACGCAAAAACGACGGCCATATACTGTTAAGTTACGCTATAATAAATCCACGTTTTTACTTCAACTGTATGTCGACATCTAAATATATGCATGGATAATAATTAATAACACAAAACAGCTATTAAAACGGTTGTTGAAGCAATTAAGAGGCCAAAAACGATTTCAAGGCTGCATCACGTAGTCTTTCATAGCAGTAAAAAGCTTATAGATCAAGATAAATCTTAAGCTGGAATGCTAAGTAGATTAGAACTTATCAAACAACATTTCTTGGAATCTCTTTCCATACCATAAACAAAATTTTATTTGATCAATTAGTATTTTTTATTGAAATCCCATAATAGCATAACTCAACAAACATTGAGTTATTTGTAATTTTTCATTACTGTAGAAGCTTATCGGCAAAATTAATAGTATAAGAAACCAAAAGCAGCCAAATCAATACCCCAAAACCTCACCAAAAAATAAAGTACGAGTTCAAATTGAGAAGTTAAAACAAAAATCTAACCTTGGAAGAGAAACATGCTTTCTCTCAGGAGGAATCACGGGCCCACTTTTCCCAACATTTTCCTCAAGATAAGCAAATTGCTTCTTGAAATGACCAATGGCACTGTATAACATGAAAAACACCATACGATGTGAGAACCATTTCACGGTTGAAACTGACATGGATAGGCTAGAATAGAATAGTTCAGAACCTAGGATAGAGAAAGCTCGTGCCACCATTTCCGGCCATGTAGTCCTTCAACAGTTGAGGATGATATTCTAACACTTCCCTAAATATTAATTCCCTGATGTCTTCCTTTGTCACTCTCCTTCGTTCAAATTCAAATTCCAGCTTCGAGATTTGCTGACAAGATGGCTCCCTCTCAATTTTAGCCAGCCCTCTGAAGTAAGGATCAGCTAATGCCTAGTAATCAAATAAACCAAAATCAGTACAAGATGATAAAGTAATCGATAAATCCATTAGTGATGGAAATACATATTCAGGCACAAAATAGTACCTCTTCAGCACTAGGACGATCCTTTGGATCAAATGCCAACAACCTTTCCAATAACTTGAGAGCCAGAGGATCGGAATTTGGAAACTTCTTAGCAAAAGCCACTGGGTGCTTTTTCCCCAAGTTCATTAAATATTTCCTTGCCTTTTCGTTACGGACCTGCATTAAGGACACGATTATTAAGCCATACCTTGGAAAATATCAAGCACAACAACACTAATAAGGAGAGTGACGAGTTAGTACTCCAGAAATTGTGTCTGATGCAGGTGTCCCGAGAAGATCAGTAATCAGATCCAACTGATGCACAATACTTTTACCAGGAAACAATGGCTTCCCCGTCAAGACTTCAGCAAAGATACAGCCTATGCTCCAAATATCAATAGCAGGAGTGTACTGCAAGAAATTACGTACAGTAAGTACATGAGACGGATTCAAAAAAAAAAAAAAACAAGAAAAACCCTGGAGGAAAATTATGCAACCTGCCACAATTACCTCTGCAATAGAAATATCAACTTCCAGGAGAGTTCAATTGTCCTCCCTGAACAATAATCTACGATCACTCCTCATTTAAGGTACTTTATAAATACATTCATTTTTTTGTTAAAATAATCAAGTAGTTATTCGACCCACCAACAATGAGCTCCAATGTGACCAAATACTAAGCATAAAAGGAAGTCCTAATCCTTTCCTACTTTCACTTAAAAAGGTCGGAAAATATGGAAGGCAATATTGTGATCCCAAGAGGTGATGTAGGAACTATTACTATGGTTTTAAAAAGTGAAATATCTGATAATCCTCCTGTTGTCTAGATAAGAGGAGGATTACTTCCAGTAATAAATTCAATAAGACCAAAAGACCGAATCAGTAGACCAGAAGAGGCTAAGAAGCTTATTATAGCTGCGTGGAAGTTGACGATCCAATTAATTACACCAAAATTTACTACAATACAAGGCTTTATTAATTTACATACGATCTGAACTAAATACATAAACAGATGCTGGCACCTTTCGATCAAACCAAAATTGACAAAGGATCAAAAGGGAGGACACAACTGCATTTCATTACCTTGGAGAAGAAAGATCCACACAACTCAGGAGCTCTATACCATCTTGTAGCAATATAATCCTGGAGGTGACACATAAAATTAGGTCTGAAATTTACCTTCAAAAGTGATAGACCAGAATACATAATGACGTAAGCCATCAATGGGATGACAAAGGTACCAGACAATGTAATAAATTGCGAGGTTTAGAACGTACCGTCCAGAAAGTTGTTGTTGGAGTGTCATTGAATGCTACTCTTGCTAGTCCAAAATCACATATTTTAAGTTTGCAATTGGCATTTGCCAATATGTTCTTTGGCTTAAGATCTCGGTGATACACATTAGCTGAAATAGAATGGCGGTCAATGAGAGTAAGAAACGGAACACATCCACACAAAAGATTTCCAAGATCAAAATGTGAGAAACAAAAGCAACTAACTATGAAAGAACACAAACAATGCAGCTAGACTTCTCACCAGCACAATGTCAGTGAATCTATTTCACATCTAGCCAATGCTGATAATAACATTTACCTGTATGCATATATTTCAGTGCCCGTAGCATCTGATAGAGAAAAAATCGGTGATGCTCGTGAGTCAAGTCATCATTAGCTTTTATAACTTGATGAAGATCAGACTCCATAAGCTCAAAAACGACATAAATGTCTTTAAAGTCACGTCTGGAGGGTGGCAGGATGATCCGCTTGATTTCAACAATATCAGGATGGCGCAAAAGGCGGAGCAACTTGATTTCGCGCAAAATCCGGATAGCATCAGACAAATGCTCAAAAATGTCAGTTATTTTCTTTATCGCTACTTTTCCACCGGTGTGAGTGTCAATTGCAGCACAAACAACTCCATAGCTACCCTTTCCAATAATTTCCAGAATTTTGTATCTATTGGCATCTCCATAGTCGGTAAAAAACTCTGTCTCCTTAGGTATCTGCAGCAAAGTAAATTACAGTGTGGTGATCAAAATGAATACCATATGTACACTTGAAGGGTATAGATGGTTCAAAAAAGTTCAGAAATTCAACATGCAAGTACTCATTTGACACTATTCTTTCACATTCAAACAAATTTAACTCAAAAATCAGATCTGAAAAAATCTCAAATATCCAAAATTTGTGCAATATAAAACTTATTAAAAATATTTTAGAAATATATGAATACAAAATAATAAGCTAAAAACTCCACCAAAAGGATGTAGAGGTAGCTTAACAACAGCTGTTCATGCAAAGTGAACCAGCTCAAAACCATAAAATGAACCAGGATGCTAGTTCTAAATAAAAAATTACTGCTAAATGCAAGGTTTGATCTTGATTTTATCTTATCCATCTTGGATCAAATGTGATTGTAGGCAATTTGCCACGTTGAACCTTCCATAAGCAGGTAATCAAACTGGTGCTTAGTAAAACTTATCAATCGCAAAGATCGCCAATCAAAATTCCTATTGGACACAACTTCTAGAGAGAAAAAAATAGTTTTTTTCCAACTTCAAGAATTTCCATCATCTTCTCTTGTCCGATGAAAATTCTTACTGGTAATAAATTCAAGAGAAAATAAAACGAACTTTTTTTTTTTAACTTTACGAATTACCATCATATCTAGCGTTTCTCGAAGACGATGCAACGCCAAACAAATTGAAAAAAAAAAAAAAAAAAAAAAAGTGAATTTTATCATATCTGCGGTCATGTGTAATATTTTGCAACCGATAACTATTGCAGAAGTCTGTGGAAGATATGATCAAACGAGATCTTCGTAAATACAAAAGCAAAGTTCTCTCCTTCACCAAAAGCCAAAAAGCAAATGAAGATATAATCAAAAAGAATAAATAAAACTAATAACAGAAAAATCAGCAAACCTTCTTCGCTTGATCCTGCAGCTGCATGATTCCGGTTTCTTTCTTTTTTTTTTTTTTCTAAATTACTCTCAGTAGAAACGTTTAGTCGTCCTCGTTCCACGATCCGATCAGATCAGATCAGATCAAATCAACAAACTATCAACAACCTCGAACAATCAATTCGCAACAAATCTGACTAGAAAAAAAAGGGGGAAAATGAAATTTTGCAATCAGCCGGCGGCTACAAGTGCACTGCACCTCAACCACCACAACCACCACCGCGAAAACCTACACCCCTCCCCAAAATTAAGTCTCACAAATTACCACTTGAGCTAAGAGAAAATCGAGAAAAAAAAAAAGGAATTGTGCAGCTCGGAGAACAGAGAGTAGTCGTAATTAGGGTTTGGAGATGTGAAGAAAAGAGGGGACCGAAAATTACAGAAGGGAAAGAGGAAGGAAAATTGATGAGGCCAAGAGTTATTTTATAGAAATCAAAAAGTATTGTCTGTGTGGCTTTGCGTGTTTTGGGAATTTTCTATTTGAACTGTCTTTTTCCTTTCTTTTTTTTCTTAATAATAATATTATTATTATTTTATTATTTCTTATATTTAAAAACATTATTACAAAAAACTCCTAAATCGCGGATGGAGAGATTATATTCCAAGCTTTTTTTATTTTATTTTTAGTTTGTGATTATATTCCAAACTTTATGCCAAGTAAAAAATGGAACATCCATCCTAAAGATGTTTCGTTCGGTTTCATTTCACTTTTATTCTTTACTTGAAACAAATTTGTATATCGAGATTTGACAAAAAAAAATATTGACACAATTTTTAAAGTTTATCTCACCTTCAAATATGATTTAACCGTAAGAGTAAAAAAGATTTGACACTTTATTTTTCAAATTATTCCTCTGCAACACATTTTTCTAGCAACTTCAAATATGATTTGATCACTAGAGTATATTTTGTCTCATCTAAAATTTTAAACAAACATTATTTTCATTCTTAAATTATTCTCTCAAAACATATTTCCTAAAATAACCTCAAAATGATCCAAATATTGCCCTTACACTTTCCATACATGAAAGAAATATAGAGTATTCATAACATATCTCGTGATACACGATTTCGTGACGGTGGTTAGGAAAATCATCATCGACTATCCGTATTGCAAAAATTGTATATGTCCCGTTAGAGATTTTGCAAAACTCATTTGCCCCGTATCATTATAGGTGCAAACATATGATATATATTCAGGGCAAATTTCAGTCATTCCTTAAGATAAGGTCAAATTACGAAAAAAAAAAAAAAAAAACCCTTTCATGTTTGGATAATTACAATTACCTCTATCAACTATATACTGTCTTACGAAAAAATCCCTCATTCAATAGATAAATTCGACACCATAAGTGTGAACGTGTTAAACAATACATAGTTGAGGAGAATTGTTATAATTACTCAAAAAAAAAAGGATTTTTTTTGTTATTTAACCTTACCTTAGAGGTGACCGTAATTTACCTTTTCTTTATATATGTCATCACCTAAAATAATTAGTATTAGGTTGCGGCTATATGCAAGACTAATTTCACTTGTGCGAAACTAAATTAAATTTTTTTAATGTATAAATCACTATAATACCCTTACATGTTCAAAAAAATAGAAAATTCCAAATGTGCAATACCAATAACTCAAAAACACAAAAAACCCTATCACAAAACCATAAGACCAACTCTCATCTTCTCCATCTTCCAAAACCCACAAAATATTTCCCCTTCTTCATCCATGAACCCACAAAGCCTAAACATTCAAAATCATCAAAACTCAACAAATCTTAAAAAGATGGCAAGTATAGAGTCAGAAGACATCAAAATAGAAGATTATACGGTGGAAGAACCCAAGAAGGTATGCATTTATGTGTTTTTAGCTAGAATATCATTTTTTTTAAATCCCGCGCAGACGCGGTCGACATGTACATGCCGAATTTTATAGGTAAAAATCGACATTGAGATGTCGATTTTGGAGTATAAAATTCGACATTTTACAATGTCGAATTCGTGCTATGAATTCGACATCTCAATGTCGATTTTTACCTTCAAATTCGACATACTTTTGAGGTTGAATTTAGGTCTTTTTTTCGACGCTTAAGTGTCGATTTGTAGCATAGTTTTTCGACACTTTGGTGTCGATTTTTACCAGTTTCATTTTTTTATTTTTCCTCTTTTTTTTTTAAGGTTGAACAAAATGAGGAATTAGCAATTGACTACTTTGGCCGCGGCGGCGGTCGGCGGTTGGCGAGGAGCTTGGGCGGCGCTGTTGTGTCGACGGGAAGGGTTTCATAGAGGTGGCTGAGTTTTCTCTTTTTTTAATTTGACGTTTTCTTTGTTTTTTTTTTCTTTTTTACATTATTTGTTATTTCGTCTTGCATTAGCAAATAAACGCCAATTTAATTTGTGGATATATTTTTCATTTCATCTTAATAAAATAGAATCTTTTGAAATATTTCTTTAATTTTATCTTGCATAGGTGAAATTAGTATTATTAGTTTCAAAATTGAAATACTCTTGTTGAATTATGTATATAAAGACATATACTCCACTTATCAATATATATATATATATATATATATATATATATATATATATATATATATATATATAGTACTTATATATTTTAGTATAAAATGTAAAAAAATATATTTTGGTTATATTCTTCGTTTGTCTTTTCACCAACAATTTTGGCTTCTAATTCAGGGGCAAATTTTTTTTTAGTGTTGTTTTAAAATCAAGTTTTTAAAATGGTGTGATTTTGAAGGTAGTTTTCAAATTGGAGTTGGCCGCCACCGGCAACGGCGGCACCGGCCGGAGACGCCACGCCCAACGGCGGCACCGGCTGGAGACGCCGCCACCGGTGGCGTCTTCTAATATTTTAATAATTTAATAATTTAATATTTTAATATTTTAATATTTTAATAATTTAATAATTTAATATTTTAATATTTTAATATTTTAATATTTTTTAATATATTATTTTTCAACGGTGCAGATTCAAGTTGATCCGACGGTCCAGATGAAGACAGCCGGATCATTGACCTCGAGAGCCGCGCCTTTGACCAGAAGACGCCGCTGACAACGGCGTCTCCTAAAGACGCCCGTGTCAGCGGCGTCTTTAACCTCTCTCCCCTCTTTCCCCAGCTCTTTCCCCAGCTCTTCTTCCCCTTCCCCCAGCTCTTCTTCTTCTTCTTTTTACTTTTTTTTTTTACTTCGGTTAAATTTAAAAAAAAAAAATTATTATTTACCTTCTCCGTTGGGTGCCGCCGCCGACGCCGCCTGCCCGCCGCTGCCTCCGCCACCGTCGCCTGCCCCGCCGGCGGTGCTCCTCTCGCCGCCGCCGGTGCTCCGTGGTACTTGCCGCCGGTGTTATTCACCCAACAAGGTAATTTTCTATTATTATTGTAAATAATTAAAAACAAATTATTATTATAATTTTATATTATGTCCAAATTTTTTAATTAATTATTGTAAATACATGTGATTAGTGTTTTTTAAGGATGTTTTTGGGTAGTTAGTTAGTAGTTTATTTATATTATATTATGTATTAGTACTATATATATTTTATAAGCATGGGCAAATTTTTTTGAACTAGTGTTGTTTTGTAAAACCATAGCTAAAATGGTGTTGTTTTGTAAAACATCGGGCAATTAAATTAAATTAACTAATTAATTTTTTGGTGTGTGTGCTTAGTTAAATTATTATTTTTTAACTAATATGCCTCATTATTAATTAATCTGGATTGGATTGATGAGTTAATTAACTCCTTAATCTTTTGAAGATTGATGGCGGCTAAAACTAATGTCAAGGTGTACGTGTACTTTGGAGGTCACATAATTCCCGATGATTGGGTAGTGCAATATAGTATTGCCCACAAAACAGCATTTCGAATTAAACGTGACTTGTCCTTTGCACAATTTCTGTCAAAGTTGTATCAACGTCTAGATGTCGATGTTAATCAGTTTGGGCTAAGAGTGTGTTGCAAATCTTACATTTATAATGGAGAAAGAATGAGGGAGATGATTACCGAGATGACAACAGATGAAGATTTACAAATGTATATTGATCTGGACGAAGGGAATGAGGCAATCGAAGTATTTGTTGAGATTGAACCGAAGTACATTGATAGTGCCCCAACACAAGTGAGCGTAGAGGCATTTGATTTGAATGAACCATATTTCTCACAACCGGAGGTGACTCCGGATTTTCTGGCGGCGACACAAAGCATCCCTAATTATTGTGAGACTAGTGGAGCGATAGAGGTGCACAGAGATTCCCATACAATTAACTATGGTAATTTAGGGGGATTTGTTGGTGAGTCGAGTTCCGCGAGACGGAGCATTTTCGAAGATGAAGACCCTATAGGTGACTCCTTTGGGCCGAACAGTCCTGTCAATTCCGAACCATCCGATGACGGAGACGACGACAATGAAGATGAAGACGTACAAGATGGTGTTCGGGAGACGTGGTTGCAGCACAACGAGGCGGAAGCAGAGGAACAACCGACGTTGTATGAGTCAATCCCATTTTTCTCGATGACGTTTCCAGAAGTGGCGGCAGATTCAGTTGATGTTGGAAGGGGCCGATATGATAAGTTTTACGATAGCGATCGGGGTATTCTTGAGGTTGGGATGGTGTTTGAGGACAAAAAACGCCTTTGCGCCGCGGTGAGAGACCATTCGATTCGATTTTCTAAACGGGAATTCACGGTTGTCGAAAGTAAGCCGAAGATATGGAGTGTCAAGTGCAAGCATAGCACACCTGAAAGGCCTTGTAGATGGTCGTTACGGGGAATTGAAAAATCGGGCAAAGGATTCTTCCTTATTACGAGATATGGTGGGCCCCACAACTGCATAATGGATGAAATGTCGAATGAACACAAGAATTTGGACAGGAACTACATTGCTGCCTTATTGGTTCAGTCCGTTCGAGATGATCCAGCTTGCAAAATATCACAAGCACAGAATATTGTGAGGTCTCAATTAGGATTTCAACTTTCAAAAATGCAAGCTTGGTATGGTTTGAAGCGTTGCAGAGATAACTTGTTCGGGAGTTGGGAGTCCTCGGTGAACAAATTGCCCAAGTTTATGAAGGCACTCCATAGAACGAACCCGGGTACGGCAATTGAGTGGGTTTTCAAACCAACAGACATTCCAACACGGAAGATGATCAAGTACTTCTTTTGGGCCTTCAAGCCATGCTTGGATGGATTCATGTTCTGTCGAAAAGTTATTAGTGTGGATGGAACTCATCTGTACACTAAGTACAAGCACAAGTTACTAATTGCAGTTTGTTTGGACGCCAATAACCAAGTGCTACCACTAGCATTTGCTCTTGTTGACAATGAAACCACGGCGGCTTGGAGGTGGTTTTTTCAAATGCTACACAGACATCTAATTTCTCAAATTCCAGATGGAGAAAGCGTTTGTGTAATTTCAGAT